GTTGGCCTACAAGGAGCTGTTGCTTCAACAGTCTTTACCAATGGAGGTCTCGTTAGAGGTTTCATTCCTGGGTACATAGCAACACGACGGGTCTACGGACCTACATACGGCGTAGAGCACACAGTTTCCAGCAATTACTACAAATATTTTGAGATGAATCATGCCGTGGAAGCTTTCATCATTCTTCCTGGAGGAGTTGACACTATGGAAGGTTTGTTCACCTTGATCTCGTGGGCTTCTGAAGGGTTACACAATAGACCCATTGGTCTCTTGAACATTGACGGTTATTTTAATAACCTACTCAAATTTCTAGATGATGCGGTGAGGCAGAACTTCATGGCTTTGAATCAAAGGAAACTTTTTATTTCTTCATTCTTTGTTGATGAGCTTTTAGACAAACTAGAGTTTGCTAAAGCGTTCCCGGAACCTGGGGTTAGTTACGATTAGTTCGTGAATCCCGGAAGACTAAACATGGAATTGCATTTATAACTTTCTACACGTAATCCAAGTTGTATTTGTGTTTAAATAATATTATCCATAAACATCAATGGTTAGTCATATGCGAGCTACATTTGCTTCATTCTTCAGTCTTTCACTATTGGCGTCATTTATTCACGTCAAACGAGTCAATCGATTTGTCTAGTCAGCATCCCTATGTTTCACTTAGTCAATTCAGACTACCTCGACATTTTTGACGATAAACAACTAAATCATTAGTCGCTTCATAGCAAGGCATCAGTTCATTCAACATGTTCGAGATGTCTATAGCTTGTAACAAACAGGTTCTTCGAACAAATCGTCTATACGTAGTAAAGAGTAGAGATTCTTGATCGTCAGTTTGTCCATCATTCTTAACAGGGATGTGATAGTATCTTGACCGTAAGTCAATCTTAGAGAATACAATGGATCCTCTAAGCTGATCAAATAAGTCATGACACGAAGTAAAGGATAACGAATTGTTCAACTGACAGTAGTTGATATAGAGTCTCATTGATTCTTCCTTATTCACGTTTGAACAGAACAGATACTCTCCGATAAAGGAAACACTTTGTCAGATGATTCCTTCTTAGGCAATCTTCATAGTTGAGTTTTTTTTTCAACGGAAACATATTCAATACAAAGTTACGAATATTGGTCCTCTCGAGGATCAAGATTGACAGAGTTTTCAATTTCTTGGAACGGTGAAATATAAGGAAGTTCATATCAGAGGGGTGACATACTTTCGGTACGTTCCTTCAGCTTAGATGTTTTTTTTTTGGGTATCGCACGAATAGAATTTACACTTGAGATGTTTTTGTATATATATTCGAGATGAACTTGGTCGGTTTAGAAATCAGCTTTGCTTTTACCTCTATAAGGTTACCATCATTGGTCTTCAGTTGAGGAATTCTTCATCACAAGTTGACAACAGCAACGACGTTCAGTCAGTTAATGCATACTAAGGATAATGTCGATTTTCCTTGTATGCTACTTTAACGATGTTTTACAAAGAATTGTCGCTTAACGAACGATTTCAATTCACATTAAGTAATCGCATAATGCGTCCTAATGAGTCAAACAATAGTATCAGATACTTTAGATAATAGAGTTTATTGATTCTAAACGTTCGTGTTTGAATCAGCGATTAGATCGTCTTGAGTCCACATGAGGATCTTTGACATCAGCTTCACAGATGTTTCTCAACATATATCAACACGAATCGTTCTTCAGGTTCATCTCACTTCCGTGCGACTTTTCTGGTACAGATCAACTTCGTCATTCACGATGCGATGCGTACGTTGATAACGTATCAGAGGTTTATACATTTTTTTATTCCTTTGTTTCTTTACCGAATACGAAAATTCGACTTGAGTCTATGCTCGATATAATTTCAGTACTAACAATTATTATCAAATAAGAATTTTAACAAGTCAATATTTACTAGGTAAATTCTCATACCTTTTCTAGAGCAGAGGGATGCGAGAGTCGTGGATGTGATTGACAATATTTTTTTTCCCAAAATATATAATTTCTTTTTTTTTAAATCAAACATTGATCCGAAGATCGTGTTTAAAACCATTTGCTCCAATACCAAATTGTAACACCCTAATCCGTCCAGGTCTGCAGCCCCATTCGGACTAAAGTATTTAACTTGGTAATCGTAAAATTTAAAACTTTTCAAACACACTTTATTAATCTCAATAATATTTTTCATAACATATACAGTACGGAGTATTTAACAAGATTGCGGAAGCGAATTTAATATTGACATATCATAAATCATTTCAAAACTTGTCACATCCATCCCGACAATCTCGCCCCATCTGCCGCCAGGATCACATTAATCTTTCTGTTTACCTGCGTGTAGCAAATAAAACATACTACACGCTCAGCGGTGAAGCTGAGTAAGCATATCTAAAACGTCGAACATCCACATAAATTGAATCTCAATTCATAATCAACCATTTGATATCATGCACACAATATATGGTTCAAACATTCAAAATATTTTCAATATTTTATTCCAAGTCATTTGATATTCAATATATATCAATAATGCTCTTAAATTATTCTTAATCTAAGGCCACATCATTTTATATTCAGCTCTTAGCTATTTCTAGTCTAAGGCAGTAATTCTAACCAGGCCCTTAAACTATAAATAGTTTAATGCAGAACACAAGAATCGATAATCCACCCTATGAGTCATGTGGATTACGTACCAACCGAACAATGATTTGTCGGGTGGGTGATATCCGGTCTGGATCCCGTACGTACGTTTAACCCAAAATATGAATTGGTCAAGTAGGTATATCGTAGAGTTCTTCTAGATATCCTTAATAATCATCATCAATATACAAGTGGGTATATCTTAGAGTTGTTTTAGATATCCTTAATAATACGATTCATTAATTCATTATTTTCACTTTAACAATTCATGATCATCATTCAAAACGTTCATCATTATTAATTCATTATAATCAATAATCAAACAATCGTCATAATGCATATAACAAATAGCGGCCTAGTCTCGAGTGTTAACACCCGAACTTACCGTCATGCATCACATAATGTTTATATGTCACAAACATCATTTTTATTGTACAAAATCATATTTATATTGTGCATAATTAATTGGTATCAAAAATAGGATTTTAGAGTATATTTTCAGGAACATTTTCATCTCGAATTGAGGAAAATAATTTAAAATAATCAATTAATTTATAAAAATTGATTTATATAATTTTATATAATCCATTAATTCATAATAATTGATTTTTACAATTTAAATAATCAATAAATTCATTATAATCGATTTTTCCACTATAAATAATCGATTAATTAATAAAAAATCGATTTTTACAATTTAAATAATCCATTAATTCACAATAATCGATTTTTACAATTTAAATAATCCATTAATTCATAATAATCGATTTTTACAATTTAAATAATCAATTAATTCATAATAATCGATTTTTACAATATAAATAATCAATTAATTCATAATAATCGATTTTTACAATATAAATAATCGATTAAATGGTACTGACTTCGAACCACTGATCTGAATAAAATTCTAATCGATTTTTAGTAAGTAAATAATCGATTTTCGGCCACTGTTCATCGTCTTCTACCTTCGGTCCATTTTTGGACATATCAATTTTAGTTACCAAACTTCAAGTAAACTATATAGAAATGTTCTCCAAGGTTCATAGATCATTTTAGAATCATTAAAACATATTTTTAACATCAAATTCAAGGCTTGTGATTCTTGGTTCTTCAAACATGTCAAACACAAAACTCAACCAAATGACCGTTTATGAACGTAAAAACAACCTATATGAACATTCTAATCTTTAGATATATCTACGGGCTTACCTCGAAGCTTATCGAAGGTTTTGAGAATTTTCTAGCGAAACTTCCGGCGATGATAACTCCCAACTCCGGCGACTTCGGTGGCCACCAACTACTGCAGCATGTTCTCCACACTCTCAAGAACACTTTGGTACTAAACTCATTAGTTTTTGGTGAGGAATGAGAGGGTTGATGGTGGCCTTATATAGGAAGAGAATGGGGAAGGTGACAACATTTGCTGCGTAGGATTTGCGTAGGAATGCATCCTCGATCGGCTGAGTGGAGTAGGAGGCGCCGTCCCTGATTGGGACTAATTTTGGTTCCATTCGGGTACACTTTTTGGTACAACTTTCTCCGAATTGAAATCCGTTTGCACCGTTGCGATCGTGCAATTAAACTCTATCCAACGATATAATTTTTATATTTATTCGTTATACTTTTTCCGACATCATATTTTTGGGTGGTTGACTTTGACAGAGTCAAAATTGGCCTTTATTCAAAAAGGTTCTCACATTTAATTCATATCATTTATTCCCATGATTTATTTCAATAAATCATTTCAAAGTTCACATTATAAACAATTCCTTCATTTATTCTTAATTTGGGTCTGTACTCAGGTTCCCAATCAAGATCACACAATAAATCAACATGTTGGATTTATCTCTATAAGATTTATCCCAATTATGTTTATTGGAGATCAATATATATTTTATTCAAGCCCAAATCCGAACAACAATTTATTTTAATCAAAAGAAATTTTGTTTAATTGAATATTTAATTCAATAAATTTGAGGGTATATTTTTGGGCGTTACAACAGATCACTGCTGACTTACTTGTAGGAAGTCTAGAGAGAGTGAATTTTGAGACTAATTGTGTAAATGTTGTATTCATATTAATTAATCATTTTTCCACCCCCCCTCCGTAATGCTAAAGGGGTAGCATTTATAGACATAAGAGCTTGTTCCCCAAGTCTTGCTATTTTTGGCGCACAAGCCACGTGGGCTTATAACTAACTTTGATAGATATTTGTTGTTATTCTAGCCGACCCAAAAAATTGGGTCGATCACTGATCCATAATATACGAACAAGCATATACAATTGGCGCTCAGCCGTTGTGCCCGCACAGCCAATTTTGCTTTATGGCCGACCTTGGCCTCTGGCGCGGTCTTCTTTTTGTGGTCTTCTTTGTAACATTGCAACCCGCACCCTAGCCGAAATTGTTTGCTTATAAGATTGTGGAGTGGCCCCAAAAACTAACCCAAGTCTTTCCACTACAAGAAAAGATGGATAAGATGACACCAATATAGGACACACATCTTTAAATGTGTCATTACAAGTTACGGAGTATTAAAGAAACTTTATGTCTCCAATATATTATACGGATGGATTTACGGAGTATACAAAAAATGTTTTCATCTAGGGTTATTGAGATTGGGGAATCCTCTGTTCCCGTCTTCCACAAATCAGCTCCATTTTCCTATGCCTATATTGTTCCCGGATATCACAGGAGTGCTCGCTTCTCTCGTCTGTGACGCAATCTGGTATTGCTGCACCGTGAACAAGATCACTTTCACTATTCAGATCTTTCATGACTCAGATACTCACTACACGAGCAAACCACCTCAGGTATTTCCTAAGAACAATTGCATGAATTTCCGAATAAAAATAAAAATCCTTATTGCTTCAATTAACTTTCAACAAGAATTCGTGCATTTCATTATCACGTACAGTCAAAGGTTTTCCATTTGGCTTGACTTCAAGGGTTATGAGTGGCTAGCAATATCCGTTCATGGTTTCGTTTCTGCTTGCATCTCAGCTTCTCATTTGAAACTACTTGATATGGGGGAACATAAACCTTTTAGCGAAACAATATCAGGGATTGTAAAGAAACTAAGAATGGTTGCCTCATGACGTTCTACCACCCTAAATGTAACGCACCAAAATATTTCCTAAAAAGTTTTATTGAGTTATTATTCAAATAAACAAATTGTTCGATTAAAATAAATTGTTGTTAGGCTTTTAGCCGAAATAAAATATGTTCTGATTTCCAATATCATAATCTGGATAAATCTCATAGAGATAAATCCCATATATTGACTATTGTGATACCGTGATTGGGAACCTGAGTACAGGCCCAAATTAAAAATAAATCATGAGAATAAGGAATATGAATTAAATGAAAGAACCTTTTTGAAGTAAAGGTCAATAAAACCAATTTTGACTCTATCAAAGTTAAACATCCATAAATATGGTGTCTTAAAAAGTATTCCAAATAAATATAAAAATTATATCGTTGAATAGAGTTTGACTGTCTAATCACAACGGTGCAAACAGATTTAAATTTGGAGAAAGTTGGACCAAAAAGTATACCCTAACTTGGACCAAATTAGTCCCAATGAGGGGTTTGCGTTTAAAACCCGCAGAAATCAATCCCCTTCTCCACTCAGCCGCTGGAACAGGAGATTAATCCATTAGAAGCCTTAGTTTCTTCCTCCATTCCTCCCCTATATAAATACCGTCTTCATCCCTTCAATTCTCCACCATTTCTCACAATCCTTATATCAATTATGTTGCTGGGACTGAGGAGAACGCAATGGTGGTGTCATATTGGTGAGGTCACTGGAGTTTAAAACTATCGTCACTGGAAGTTTCGCCGGAAAATCTTCGAAACCTCCACTACGTACATGAACCTTGGAGAACATTTCTATATAATTTACTTGAAGTTTGGTAACTAAAAATGGTATTTTTCGAAATTGGACCCGAACAAAGAAGAAGATGAATAGTGACCAAAATACATACTGTCTAGATCGATCCAAGGGCCTGGATCGATCCTCTAGGAATGTTTCCTCTACACACGTATCGATCCAGAGTGCTGGATCCATCCTCCAAAATTCTGATCTAAAAATTTGTCCGAAAATGCTATTTTTAAGCTCTAAAATCAAATTTTTGATACCAATTAATTCTGAACAATATAAAGATGATTTTCCACCATGAAAATGATGTTTTTAACAAATAAAATGTTAAGTAATGCATGATGGTAAGTTAGAGTATTAACACTCGAAACTAGGCCGCTACTTGCTATTGGATGTTATGTTAATCAATGACTATATATGATGAATGATTATTATGGTTGATTATGAATGATGAACCTACTGATTAAAATGATTATTAACGATTGAACCATGATTAAAATAAATACACTGATGATTACGAAATAAATTGTGTTGTTAAGGATATCTAGAAGAACTCTAGGATATACCCGATTGGAAATTACTGATGAACTATTAAAGATATCTAGAAGAACACTAAGATATATCCATATTGATGTTGGTTTTTAAGACTATCTAGAAGACCTCTAAAATCGCTTAGAAATAGGCCTTGCGGGTATAATTATGAATATTCGGTGGCCTGGGTTAAAACGTACGTACGAGATCTACAAATCAAACTTGATAATCACTCGTTTGTGGATACCACCCAACCCGACAGTGAGCATTCCACTGTTTGATTTCTGGTTGACCTTAAACGAAGGTAAGTTTTATCTTAAACTAGGCCTAGCTTGAGGATTGGATAAAACTACCTTAGACTAGAATATAGTGTAAGAATTGGTTAAAAATATCTTAAAGTAGAATTCGTTTAAGGGTTGATAAACATTAAAGAGATTGGCCTTAGACTAAGAATAGTTTAAGGACATTGTTGAATGACAAATGATGAATATTGTGAATATCATGAATGATAAATGACTTGAATTAAATATTGTGAATATTATGAATGATTGAGGAATGTTATATATGAATGATGAATATATATGATGAATGTTGAATATGAATATTAAAGTTGAATAATGAGCGATTAAAATTGAATATTGATTATTGAATATCTGAACTGAACTGATGGAGGATAACTCCAAAAGACACGTCAGCCGGACCCCAACAGCACGGGAGGCATCGGTTCGACTCCGGACGCGGTCCAGGCACTGTTCGGCTTGGTGGTGACCACGGAGCAGCTTCAGGCGGTAGTTGCGGCACTTTCTGCCATGGGTGGAAACGTGCCCGGTGCCGGAGCTGGAAAAGCTCTGCCCGGTCCCCACGCCGAACACGCTGCCACTTCCCAGCACAAAGGGAAGAAGACCCGGAGGAGTAGAAGGAGGCCCTGCAAGGCCCCGGCGATCGAGGAGGTGATTGTGGAGGACGTCTCGGAAGGGGAAGAGGATGAGTCCAGCGAAGGCTGAGTGTCAGCCTTCAGACATTTGGGAGGCGAAGAGACCTGGGTGCCGGCCTTCGACAGGCTTGACCGCGGACCGGAAGGTCGCCTGGGCGACCTATGCCGACAAATAACCGAAGGTAGGTGGAGGCATGCTGAGGAGTCCGCAACATTGGATGCTCGCTCGGCGAGGCCCGAGTGGAGCGGAGATAGGCGGGACGAGCGCACCCAGCGTCGCCACAGTCCGACGAGAACTGAGAAGACAAAGGTCTCTGACTAAGGGGTCTCTCAGCTCGCTCGTTAAATCGCCGAGCTCAAGCGCCGAGTAGAGACCAGGGCTCCCTACAGCAAGCCCATCTTGCGGACGGTAACCCCGTTCACTCCGAGGGTTATGTCGATTCCGCTGCCAGCAAACTTTCGGCCATGGCAGATCAAGGCCTACAACGGAACGACGGACCCCCAAGATCATCTGTCTAAGTTCTACGCTTCCATGGAAGCGGCGGCTGCCCCGGACAAGGTTAAGTGCCGGTGTTTTCTCGCGACGCTGGAAGGCTCCGCGTGTGATTGGTTCAATCGGCTCCCGAAGGGAACCATTGACGACTGGGATACACTGGCGGAGAAGTTCCTAACACACTTTGCGGCCAACAGAAGGCAAAGGCTGCCCTACTCCCACCTGCTCAACATATGCATCCGCAAAGGAGAGAAGGTCCGCGAGTTCATAGTCCGGTTGGAGAAGGAGGCTAGGGAAGTGCACGGGGCGGATGACCAAGCTCTCGTGGCCATGTTCCAAGTGGCCCTTCCCCGCGGAGAGGTAAGGAACGAGCTCCGCAAGAATCCTCCCCCCACGTACCGAGACCTTGGCGCGCGCAAAGTTCTTAGCCTCGGAGGAGTTCGACGACGCCCCAGATTTCGAGGTCGCGCCGGCCAAGCGAGCTCCAGCAGATTCGGGAGAGACCGCGAAGAAGAGGAAGAAGAAGAAGGACTACACTGCGGGCCCGAGGATGCCCTCGGCCGGAGTATACACCGTGGGCGCCCCCGTGGGGACGGGTCGAGAGCTTGCCCTCTCCCCGCTCCCCCACGTAGAGGCCTACGCGGTGTCCAGCGGAGCCAAGTATTGCGAGTACCATCACAACAACACTCATAACACTAAGGATTGCTTCACTCTTTAGAAGGAGATGCAGCGACTCATCGCTCGAGGGCCGCCTCCACGAGACGATGGGGCTACCTTCTCCCAGGGGCTGCCAGAAGGAAGAACTGGGAGGAAGCCTACTGAGCCGGTCGCAGTGGCGACGCAGGCTAGGAACCCCGAGTAGAGGCACATCGCGCGGGAGTGCGACGATCTAGACGAAGACGAAGCCCAAGGATATCCGGTGGGATTTATCCATGGGGGAAACATTGGCGGGGACTCCGTCGCTCAAAGGAAGAGGTGGAAGCATATGGCCTTCGTCGCTAAGGTCCATCAGGCACTGGCGCCCAAGCTCGGAAGACGAGAGCAAATCCAATTCACGGAGAAGGATCTTCCGAACACGCCGAGCCCCCACCAGGATGCCTTAGTCGTGCAGATTGAGATCAACGACGCCATAATGCATCGCACCTTGGTGGACACGGGAAGCTCAGTCAACATAATGTATGAGAAAACATTCCAAGACCTCAGCTTGAACCGCAAGGACTTAAGGCCTGTGCGCACTCCTCTCTCCGGATTCACGGGGGACTCCATCGAGGCCGAGGGAGTCATCGTCGTGCCCGTGATAGTAGGGGATGTTGTACACAAGGCCAAGCTGAAGATGGAGTTCATGGTTGTGAGCATCAACTGCGTGCACAACATGATCCTGGGACGGCCCGGCCTTGAGGACTTGGAATGTGTGATCTCCCCGTACTACTTGTGCATGAAGTTCCCCACTTCGTCCGGGATCGGGGTGGCGAGGGGAGACCAGAAGTTAGCTTGGTCGTGCTACGTCCAAATCACGAAGAAGTTTCCTAGGGATGAGACGCTGGTCGTGCACGTGCAGGAGGAAATGCACAAGTTGGAAGCATGACCGAAGGCCGAGCCCGCCAAGGAAGTCGAGGAAGTGCTGCTCGACCCGTGGACACCCGAGCGGAAGGTTAAGGTTAGGGCGAGCCTAACAGGGAGCCAGCGGAAACGCTTGATGGACGTGCTCGCCGCCTACGGCACGATCTTCGCGTCGGGACCCAGGGATATGCCGGGTGTGGAACCCAAGATCATATGTCATCGCCTGGCAGTCAATCCGGAGGCTAGGCCGGTCAAGCAGAAGAAGCGGTAACTCTCGTCCGAGCGGAGGGAGTTTGTCTCCAAGGAAGTGGCCACCCTCCAGAACATTCGGCATATCAGAGAGGTTAAGTACCCGGAGTGGATGGCCAACGTGGTGCTGGCGCCGAAGGGAAACACTTGGAGGATGTGCATGGACTACACCGACTTAAATAAGGGATGCCCCATGGATCCATTCCCACTCCCGAACATCGACCAGCTGGTGGATGAGACGGCGGGTTGCGAGCTCATGAGTTTCATGGACGCCTTCAGTGGGTACCACCAAATCCGAATGCACCCTAAAGACGAAGAGAAGACGTCTTTTACCACCCCCGGCGGAGTTTATTGTTACAAGGTGATGCCTTTTGGATTCAAGAACGCCGGGGCAACCTACGCTAGGATGGTGAGCAAGCTCTTCGTATACGACCTCGGGAAGAGCATGGAAGCGTACGTCAACGACATGATTGTGAAGAGCAAGCAGGCGACCACCCATGCGGAAGACTTAGAAGGGGTGTTTAAGATTATGGAGAAGTACAACCTTCGGCTGAACCCGAAGAAGTGCACGTTCGGAGTCCAAGGCGGTAAGTTTTTGGGACACATGGTGAGCAGGCGCGGTATCGAGAAATGTCAAGGAGGTGCAGCGCCTGACTGGGTGGCTCTCAGCCGCTTCCTCTCCAAAGTGGCGGACCGAGCCACTCCCTTCTTCCAAGCCGTGAAGAAGTCCCGGGGATTTGTATGGACGGAAGACTGCCAGCAATCCTTTGAATCTCTGAAATCTTATCTCCTCTCTCCGCCGGTCCTCGCTAAGCCTGAGCCCGGAGAGACCTTGTATCTTTATTTGGGAGTGTCGCCCAAGGCACTAAGCTCGGTCGTAGTCCGAGAAGAAGGCGGAGCTCAGCACCCAGTATACTACACGGCGAAGACGCTAAGGGGTCCCGAGCTCAGGTACTCGGTGGCCGAAAAGACGGTCCTGGCCGTGGTTGCAACCGTGCAGCGGTTGACGCCCTACTTACAAGCTCACCCGGTTCAAGTACTCTCCCAACGCGCCCTCTCGCATGTCCAAGTGGGCGGTGTTCCTCGGAGCCTTCCAGATCGAGTTCAAGCCAAGGCCAGCGATCAAAGGCCAAGTGCTGGCCGACTTCGTGGTAGAATGCAACACTTGAGAAGAGCCGAGCCTGGAACTTGAAACCGACGATTGGTGGACAATTTTCACCGATGGCTCCTCCGCCGCCAAAAACTCGGGGGGTGGAGTGGTAGTCATCGCTCTCGAAGGCTTCAGAGCATATTACTCAGTCTGATTCGGCTTCAAGGCATCAAATAATGAGGCGGAATATGAAGCGCTCTTGTGCGGGCTACGTCTAGCAGCCGGGATGATTGCGACAAAGCTAAGGATAAAGTGTGATTCGAAGTTGGTGGTTGGCCATGTCTCGGGAGAGTTCAAGGCGAAGGACGAAAGAATGAAGAAATACAGAGACACGGCTCTAGAACTACTTAAAAGCTTCACCGCGTATAGTGTCGAGCAGATCCCCCGAGCGGAGAACGCCGAGGTGAATATCTTGTCGAAGCTGAGCTCGGACACGCCCGAGCACATTAGGCGGATGGCGAACGTCGAAAAACTGTCCGAGCCGAGCATCCATGCCTTCCCCGTGGCAATGATCTGTGCTCGGTCCAAAGATTGGACGGACGACATAATTGCCTTCCTGAAGGATGGCGCGCTCCCGGACGATGCAATGAAGGCTATGTTGGTCCGGACAAGGGCACCGGGGTATACATTGGAAGGCGAGAAGCTATACAAGCGAGCGTACAACGGGACGCTACTCAGGTGTTTTAGACCAACTGAAGCAAAACAAGTTATGGAGGAGGTGCACGCCGGAATCTGCTCCGCCCACCAGGGGGCTTACGCGGTGTCGAGGAAGATAACCCTCTAAGGATATTTTTGGCCAACAATTGCTAAGGATTGCACGGATTTCGTAAAGAAATGCAAAGTGTGCCAAGAGTTCCAGAAGGTACCAGGGAGGCCTTCAACAAACTACACCCCCATCAGCATGGCTATTTCGTTCGCACGGTGGGGAGTATACCTCGTGGGCGCACTCCCTAGGGGCACCGGGAACATGAGGTACGTCATCGTAGCCATCGACTATTTCACTAAGTGGGTGGAAGCAGCCCCATTGGCAAGCATCACCGAAGCTCAATGGCAAAAGTTTCTCGCAAAGCAAGTCATCTACCGCTTCGGCGTTCCCGAGCACATAATCACGGATAATGGAACATAGTTCGAGTCGAAGCCCTTCAATGCCTTCCTCGAAAGTTGGGGGATCAAGCACAGCTATGCATCAATTGGGTACCCCCAAACGAATGGTCAGGTCGAGAACGCCAACCGAACGATAATTGATGGTCTGAAGCGGAAGTTGGAAGCCTGCGGAGGGGAGTGGGCAGAGGAGTTGCCTTACATCCTATGGACCTACCGGACCATGCCTAGGAGGGAAACCGGGGAAACCCCCTTCGCCTTGTGCTACGAATTCGAGGTAAGGGATCTTGCAGAGATCTCCATCGCAACTCACCGGGAGGAGATCTTCGACCCCGAGCGTAACGAAGAAGCCCTGGCAGCTGAACTCCACCTCGTGCACGAGAGGCGTGAAGCGGCCTTCATACGGGCAGAGAATTACCGAAGGAAAGTGAAAAGCTACCATGATGGGCGCGTGCACACGCATGAGGGTTCACCGAAGGAGACTGGGTGCTGCGCAAAAGGACCATAAGCCGCCCCCTAGGTGGAAAATTTGCAAAGAATTACGAAGGTCCTTAGATCATCAAAGAGGTGGTAGGCCCCTCGACGTTCCGCCTGCAGACGCCGAGCGAAGGGGATGTGCATAGGACTTGGAATGCCGAGAACTTAGTCAAATTTTATCAGTAGATTACCGATGTACACGGGTCCCAGAAAGGGAACCCGCAACACTTCGTGATTGAATTGAATGAAATGAATTTTTTGCAAACAAGGTCCAACAGCCTGCTCGGCGCTTCCCCTTAGGGGAAGATCCGAGCGCGGACCACGTCCGGATGTTCTTCCTGGATAAAGGTCCAACCTTCGTGCTCGGCACTTCCCCTCAGGGGAAGAGCCGAGCGCAGACCATACCCGGACGTTCTTTCCTGGATGGAGGTCGAACATTTGTGCTCGGCACTTCCCCTCAGGGGAAGAGCCGAGTATAGACCATGTCCGGATGTTCTTCCCGGATAAAGGTCTAACCTTCGTGCTCGGCACTCCTCCTCAGGGGAAGAGCCAAGCACAGACCATACCCGGACGTTCTTTCCTGGATGGAGGTCGAACATTTGTGCTCGGCACTTCCCCTCAGGGGAAGAGCCGAGCGCAGACCATGTCCGGATGCTCAGCCCGGATAAAGATCTAACCTTCGTTCTCGGCAGTCCTCCTCAGGGGAAGAGCCGAGCGCGGACCCTTTAGGATTATGGCGAAAAGCGAAAACAAGACTTAATCAAAACCAAATTTTATTCATCCCGGATAATGGGCAAGTACATGGCCCAAACGCCTTACAATAATTAAACACCTTACAAAAACTAAAGTACGAGTGGACTTCAATGCATGCCACAGTTCCACCCCCGCTCGCACGAGCAAGGTGGGGGGTAGGAAGGTGAAGGAGCCCTACTGACGACGGAGTGCCCGGTAGACTCGTCATAGCTAGGCGAGCCTGGGTCTTCAAGGGAGCACCGGCTCGGATGGTGGGATGCCACGGAGCTCTCGCTCGGAACCGCTGTGGGAGGAGCTGGAGGACAGTGACCTCGGCCCCCGCGGCTGGCAGGAACCAAGGGAGCGACGACCTCACGACGGGCCGGCGGGGCACGCGGAGCTTGTGGAGATTTGGTCTTCTCATCCTCCTTCGACGAATAGTAGATGAACCCCGGGATCTTGGCAGAAGGATCGGGGTGCACCGACTCGGACTTAGAGTTCGAGTCCCAAGAGTCCCGCGGTGAAGAAGGCAGGGTCGAGCTCGGCCCCGACTTGGTCAGGATGGCAGAAGAGCCCCCGAGGGAGTAGCTACCGAAGGAGAACGTCTCTCCTCGCATCTCGCTGGAATCGGGGGGAGTGGGAGCCGAGCGCGACATGGCAAGATTTGAAGAAATTCAAAGATGAGTGTAAAGAAATTGTAAGGACCCCCCCCCCTTATATAGGCATCTTGCCAAGGGGGAAGGTACACGTGACAGCACGGGGACGGTCGAACTGTCGGCAGGTCAAAAGGTCCCAAGTCCCAAGGTTGTCTCAGTTAACGAAGAGACAGAAAAGGGATCAAGTCCCGGGATGACCTTCTCCTCGACGTGGCCGAGCTCAGGTCGGGCGGGGGATGGGAACGACGAAGACGGTAAAATTAAAGGCAAGAGGGAAAGCATAACATATCCATACAAAGCAAAACCCGAATTCAAAAACAATAAGTTCTGAGCAGCATTACATCAAATACAACAAGGTTTAAAGTCATATCACTCGGCATTCGGCTGCTCGCCGGCCGTGTCCCCGCCATTCGAGTAGTAGATGGAAGTGTCGAACTCATCAGGGTTGTCGCACGGTTCGGGAAGGTCCAGCCCGACGAGGAACATATCCGAGAGGACCTGCTGCGCTCGGAACAGACCAAGGTTGTACCACGACGTCCCTTCGGAGCGAGCGAAGGCCTTCCCCTCGGGAGTCTGCCCCCATGCCTTGAGTAGATCATTCATACGGGCGAATGTGGAACATCGATCTTCTTTGCAATATGGATTTGAAGCTTGTTTCGTTCTGTTTGTAATCTTCTTTGTTGTGTTGGTATTGGATTATCTTTTTGGATCTTAGTGGTTCAATTTGCTATGTGTATGGCCTACTACTTTTGTTTGTGTAGAGGCATTTTGAATTGTAATTTTCTGTTTTGTATAGGTGTTTAGGTTGTATTTTTATGCACTAATGCAAGTAACCATCTTGTGGTTAAGCATTTGACATTCTTGTATTCATTTGATTACGGGTAATAATAATTTACATGTAACCTTGATCATTCATACAGGCGAAGGCCTCATCCTGGAACGCCCCCGAGGATATGAACTCGGCCACGGCCTGATCGCGAGCCTCCTGGCGCGCCTTGCGAGCAGCCTCCTCTACGAGGTGCTGAGCCCGCTCCTCAGCCTGGCGAGCTTGCTCCTTGGCCGCCTTCAGCGCCTCATTGAGGTCGGCTATCTCAACATAAGCCCTGCTCCGGTCATCCACACTGGCGCGCAGCCGCTGACTCATGTCGACCATGTGCATCATCGCCTGCAAATAATTAAGGGGTGAGCACCACAAATGAATTACATTCATAAGGCATGACAAGGGAAGCTTACCGAGCCCAGCTCGTGGAAAGTAGCCGAGGCCAGGGTCTCCTGGTCGATATCTTTTATCTTTGCGCGATCGGTGGGGGGAGTGAAGCTGCGTAGGAAGGTCTCCGGGTCGTAGTCCCAATCTAGAATGGAGACCCGAGCGGGGAAGGCTGCCTTGACGTATTTAGGATGGCCGATGTCCTTCATCATGGGGGACTCGGACCCCTGTGGAGCGTCGGCGGCCGAGGCCATTTCCTTCCTCTTTTTCTTCTGTGCCGTCTCGGGGGTCGGCTTCATGGGTGGATTCGGGGGACGGCCGCCCGAAGTAGGAGCCTGAGAGTTGCTGCTCGGAGCGCCCGGGAACATGAGCTTCATCCGCTCGGCGCTGGAGAGCATGATTTCACCTGCACAAAACCAAAGAAGACAAGTGGTGAGGCGAGAAGTTGCGGCGAAGAGAAGAGGGGAAATCCAAAGCAGTCGCGACCCACGGACGGACGAGCGTATGAGATCGCACTGACCTGAGGGGCCTTCTTCGATGCTCCGCTGAGTGTCTTCCGGGGACAGGAAGACGAAGCCGAGTGCCGCCAATGCCTCGTTCGTCACTAGCGAGCCGACATCGAAGGGCCCTCCTCGGCAGAGCGTCTCCACATCCTCAAGCATTTTGTCCGAGGTGACGCACGCAGAACGACAACGGAAGGAACCGAGGGGCTCTTTACAAAAGGGGGAGCCTGAGGAGATAGAGACGAAGACGAATTTCCCTTTCCAGGTCTTGGCGGAGTCCTTCCGCGTCTTGAAGAGCTTCTCTTGTCTTTGGAAGATGGATGCATACGAGCCCGAGTCGGAGTTTGCGCGGCCGGATGACTTCGCCAGACGGAAGAGCAACAGGAAGCGGGCTAGATCGAGGCGAACCCTAGTCCTTTAGCATTGAATGAGGAACCCCGCCAAGTAACGATGGGATTTGGGCACAACTTGGCAAGGGAGAAAATCAAAATGGAGGAAGAAATCTTTGACTAACTGATGGAGGGGGAAACGGAACCCATACTCGGGGACTTGAGGTGGATGGCGAAGAAACCCGGAGGAGCATCAAAGACAGATTCCTTGGGGGTGGGACGGCGTACGGTCACGCCCCGCACCGAGGCAAGGCACTTCACCTTGCGGAACTCCTCCACCGAGAGGGTGCACTTCCGTGCTCGGATTAGTGAGTCCTCCAGGGTAGTGTGCCTCTGATTGCGAGTCTCGGACTAAAGAGGGATCTTGACCGCCTCGACTATCTCCTCGACGGAGGGCGAGCGGGAGTCGCTCTCCTGCGCGGATCCGGTGACAGAGCCCTCGGCATCACGCTCGGACTCGGACTGACGAAAGACCGAGGATTGGGAAGACATGGAAGAACAAGAACGAGGAAGAATAACCTAGTACGGTGCCGGAAAATGGACGAGAACGACGGCGGGAAGGCTAGCGATGGCGAAGAAATCTCCTACTTTCTCTCTCTAAAAGGTGGAGAATGAAGAGGGTAGGGTTGATATTTATAGAGGAAGGGATGAATGGGTGCAATGATGGGCCGCCACTTGGCCTAGGGAGGCGAAACGGCGCACCCCTTCATGATGGCGAAGCCCAAACGGCACTAATGGCCTGCCAACTACTCCACGTGGGCCCGCGCGTCGTTTCCCTACAGTACCCATACTCTCTCGTGTTCCATCGCCGACTGCAACGAAACCCGGAGAGTGGGGGGCTTGTGATGGAGGATAACTCCAAAAGACACGTCAGCCGGACCCCATCAGCCACATGGAAGGGTTTCCTGCTCGGCTCATGAGCTCGGCCCGGCCTGTGAGCTCGGCTGGGGGGGCGTGATAGCGACCGGCGGATAGCGACCGGCCACGTTGACTGCGCGATAGCGACGGGATGAAAAGGACAACTCATGACAGAGATGACGTCCGCTAGGCGACGAACCTCGATCAGAGAACTTTGACTATGCGTATTGTATCCCCTATAAAAGGGGCGAGACCCCTCATTGTAATGGATCGAAGTTTAGAACAAATAAACTCCTACTTTGCATTCTCTCTCTCTAAAACTTATATTACTCTTTATTCTCGGTGGTTTATAGGCATCATGAACACTATGTGCATGATATCAAATGATTTAATTATGAATTGAGATTCAATTTATATGGATGTTCGACGCATTAGATATGCTTACTTAGCTTCAACGCTAAGCGTGTAGTATGTTTTATTTGCTACACGTAGGTTAATAAAAAGAATGATGTGATGTGATCCTGGAGGTAGATGGAGGCGAGATTATCAAAATGGATGTGATGGTTTTGAATTGAAATACATTAATAAATTATTTTTTGTGATTATTATTCGTTAAGCTTCCGCGATATTGAATACTCCGTATTGTTTATGTCATGAAAAATATTATTGTGATGAATAAAAATGTTTGAAAGGTTTCCGATTACCAAGTTAATACTTTAGTCCGATAGGGGCTGTAGACCTGTACGGAGTAGGGTGTTACAATTTGGCATCGAAGCAAATCGTTTTAAAACTGATCTTCGGATCAAAATTTGATATTTAAAAAAAATGTCAATCACATCCATGATCCTCGCATCCTTCTGCTCTAGGAAAGGTATGAGGATTTACTTGGTAAATAACGACTGTGTTAAATACTCATTAGATAACAATTATTGGTAATGAAATTATATCGAACATAGACTTAAGTTGAACTTTCGTACTCGGTGAAGAGACGAAAGAATAAACGAAAAATATATGACCCTCTGATACGTTATCAACATGCGCATCGCATCACGAGTGACGAAACTGATCTGCATCGCATAGTTGTACAAAAGTGAGCCGATTATGAAGAAACGATTAATGTTGAATAACATCTGTAAAGTCGATATCAAGGATCCTCATGTGGACTCAAGATGATCTCATCGCTGATTCAAACACGAACGTTTGGAATCAATAAACTCTGTTATCTAAAGTATCTCATTCTGATGTCTAACTCAATACTACACAATATGCGATTATGTCATATGAATCGAAATCATTTGTTAAGCAATAACTCCTAGCAAAACCTCGTTGAAATACCATACAAGGAAATTGACTTTATCCTTAGTATGAATTGACTGACTGACGTCGTTGCTGTTGACAACTTGTGATGAAGAATTCCTCAACTGAAGACCAATGATGTTAACCTCATAAAGGGGAAAGCAAAGCTATTTTCTATACCAACCAAGTTTATCTTGAATACAAACACAAAATCATTTTGTCTATAAGAAAGTGTGAAGTCTATTCGTGTGATATGCAAAAAGAAACCTCTGAACTGAAAGACGTCTCGAGAGTACGTAACTTCTCTGATATGAACTTCCTAATAATCCATCGTTCCGAGAGATTCAATTCGCTATCAATATTAACCCTAGAAAAGACCAATATTCGTATCTCACTAATGAATGCATTTTCTGTTGAGGCTGAAAACTCAACTCTAAAGTTTGCTTGACAAGGAATCAATTGACCACATGTTTTCTCCATGAGTATCTGCTCCGTTCATACGTGAATAAAGATGGATCGATGAGACTATGTATGAACTACTATCAATTGAATAGTTCGTTATCCTTTACCTCGTATCGATGACTTACTTGATCAGCTAAGAGGATCCATTGTGTTCTCTAAGATTGACTTACAGTCATGATACAACCAAATCTCTGTTAAAAAACTTGAACAAACTGACGATCAAGAATCGCTACCCTTTACTATGAACTGACGACTTGTTCGGTATAAAGATTCCTCCTTTATATCTAGGGTGTACATACCTCGAATATGACACAACGGCGTCAACGAACGGTCCTCAAATCGTTGACCTTCCGACTTCCAAATGGCTTCTTGAGTTCCATTTCTTCTCACAAATATGTTATAGGCGTTGTCAAGAGTCGGCATGCACCAAACAAATAGCGGATTGGATGATACAGAACGAGAATGGGACGGAAGTTGCAAATGTTGCGTTTTTCATCGCCACTAGACCAGTTTTTGTAAAACAGCCGTATCGCCTTCGTTACCCGTCTTACTGACAAACCGTTTGCGATGTGGTTCACCGACTCGAAGAGCTACAACTTTCACCAATAAACCACGACCAAACAGTAAGTTTATGTTTATCGAAATACTGCCCAAAGTGGACTGACGGGATTTTTCTTCCAAAACACCTCCTCCTTCTTCTTCCTCTTCTTCTCCTCCACCGGCCTTCCTCCGTGGTGTGGTTTCTGGGCTGAAATACGAAGAGAAGAGGAAGGGGTTGAGAGTGTGTTGGTGGTGTGGGGTTTACAAATGTTGGAGAAAATGGAAGGGAAGAGGAAGGTTTATATTAAAGAGACATAATAGAGGAGTAATGAAGGACTAATAAGGGAAGTAAATGAGAATTAAAAATGAGGGAATGAATAAGGATGAGTGGCGTGTGGATTGATTTGGGGAGTTATCTCTCTAAATTCCACATTGATGTATAAAATCTGACCTGAACGCTACACGCTTTTCCCCCCGAACTGGTCCAAATCGAGATCTGTTTGCATTTCCAGAAATAAACAGTGAAAACTAAATTTATGATGTCTTAAAAATATATTTTCCAAACATTATTTACAGACCATTGGGTCCATCTCATTCATTAATTAATTTATCTAACCAATTAATGTTGAGAGGCCCGCTTTTAAAAACATCTTTCTTTAACTAAAATACATTAACTTTGGAAGTCCATTTAAAGAGTTCAAAATCTCAATATTTATTATTTAAAATAATGAGTCTCAATAAATAAACAATACTCCCTCCGTCCCGGAAAACATGGGAGTTTTGATTTTGAAGATGGATTTAAGGGGAGTGTATTTTGGTATTGAATTTCCAAAAATGTCCTTTGATGTGATGGGTTAAAGTATGATTTGATGGATAAATTATTAGTAAAAACGTATGATGTGATAGGTAGGGTATGCAAAAGTAAGGGGTAAAAGTGACTTTTTAATAGGAATGAGAAGTGTTTTTTGGGACGGATGAAAAAAGAAAGGAGAAAGGTTTTTAGGGACGGAGGGAATATTTATTTGTTTAAAATATTGGCTAACTATTAGGCCGGTTTGTAGGGCGTTACAATTATCACCCCCTTAAAGGAATTTCGTCCCTGAAGTTTTCCTCAAGTCACACCTCACGTGTTAAGGGAAATAGTGTGTTACCCAGAATTTTGTTTTATGGAGCATACTAGGGCATAATAGATTAAAAAGCAATTTATGGATTTTATTCAAGGAACTTATTTGGTTGAGACAAGTGGGACTAAATGTTGCATCAATTAGAAACTCGACTATGCCATAAGTTAGCAAGTAACCCACTAGTCTAGTCGGGCTAAGTCCACTGGAGGAATATCCACACCTCCACCACAGATACTACTAGCAGAGTCCACGCTGAATGTTTCCTCAGGGTCATCTCTTTCCCACGCCGCTTTCCGGCATTTCCAGATCTTTAGTTTTATTATCGTTCTTTACGATGTGCACGCTGGTAGCACTCCTTGGAGTCGTATATCTTCCTCTTCTTTTATCTCTTACCAAGCACGAAAGTCTTGTTGGAGTCAACGCTTGACACGCTTTTGGTATCAATATTACTCATCTAACGAGCATGTAAAGTCAACTTTTAACCAAATGTGCACATAACATAGTTACCTTCTAGAGATGGGAGACGATTTTAGGATGCAAATGCATGTTTTCAAATGATCAGGAGACTGCATGTAAAACCATTTTCTCTTATACCAAAATGTAACACCCCAATTCGTATAACACGCAATTATAGGAATTAAGGTGAAATGGGAGAAATATTTTTAAAACTTTTCCAAATCATTAAATAAAATTCATAAAACAAAACTTCAAATACAAAAAACTAAATTTGGATCGGTCCTTTTTCAAAATGTCAGAGATAGCAGAAGACTTAAAGTAATACAAATACAATGATGTGGGTCAAACCCAAAACTTCAAATGCAATACTTGTGAAAATCATGCATGTCAACCTGCCATCCTATCGTATCTTCGTCCTCTGGGTGGTTCACATAATTTGTGCTCCAACCTACGTGTAGACAAAAAGACTACACGCTCAGCAGAAAGCTGAGTGGAATGATAACTGATAACGCAAGAGATCGATAACATATTTATACTTAAATACCATGTATCAAATTCGCCACATATTTTTCATCCTTGTATAGTAGATAACACAAGATACAAGGTACACGAATACATATCATGGAGATTCATTTGGAATATTATCCAAATATAAATACCTTGGCCTTGCCGTCAACGATGTTGGATATGAAGTGCAGTATCTTTTGCAATACCACATACAAATTGACAATAGAGATCTGCATAATTACTTACAAACGATGCAATGCCAAATGATTCATGATGTATGAGTTAGACTACACAGGGACCCCTGCCCTTCGATGATCATCCCCACGCGGTGATGAGCCGAGGAAACCTTCGTCTCCTAGAGGAGACTAGAAATTGTGGGTGGTAACTGAAAGCCTAGTTACCATGTACGTACACAAGCCTGCCTTCCTGATGAAACCTGTTGGATCCCGAAGGCTCTTGGACGGGCCCGCGGAAGAGGCGCATTAGGCCTGACCTCTTGACGCGGCATGTAATGGTATGCCATGATCCTACGACATACGTCTAGGATGATGATATGATGTTATGAATGGTATACTACTTTTAGATTTAAGTGAGCATGCTTGAGTTTGTTAGAATAATAGACCAACGCTAGAGGGGGTGAATAGCGTTTGATCAAGAAATCGCAGGAATGAAAATGAATGAACGAGAAGTAAAGAGAAAAGTAAGAGGCACACCGATTTTACCCTGGTTCACCAAAGCTTGTGGCTAATCCAGCCTCCCGAGAGACTCTCTCGAGCTACACTACTATCTCGTTAAGCTAACGGTGCTTAACAAACCCGTACAACTTGAGAGTTCGAGTCACATGAACCTCAACGAACCTTCGAAGGAAACAACCCTTCCTTCGAACAACAAAAGAAATATTTTCTCTTGTCAAGTGTCTAAGAACACTAAAAACACTCAAGACCAATACTCTCTTTTAGAGTGGATAATGAGTAACTAAGAACGCTCAAAAAAGAAACACAAGCTTCACAAAAATGCCTCTCAAAAAGCTATGAATAAAGGATGGATGATTTGCAATGAAAGAGTAGGAGTTGTGAAGTAAGTGATATGTAAAACTGACCCAAACACCCCATTTTATAGTAGAAAAATAGGCTCCAACGGACCAAAACATTTTAAGGGGTGATTGGCACAATTTGTGGGATTTGATTAAATTTGGATCTGCTAAAATTCACCCCGACAGCGCTGTCCTAGGCTTGGGCATTGCTGTTCTAGGCTTGCATTTTGAAAATTGAGAAGCAACGATCATGCCAACAGCGATGTCCAATACTCCTACATCGTTGTTTTGGCTGTTGACTTCCAAACAAGAAAAGTTAAATTCCTTGCAACGGTCAGGTCCCTACATCGATGTTCAATACTTGAACATCACTGTTTAGGTCTGACTTTGAAGGTGGAGTTTTGGCCTGACAGCGCTGTTGCGGGGTCAACATCGCTGTCCAAAAACTTTTTGCCTATGCACTATATTTTTGGCTTAGGTTGGACAGCGCTGTAGGGAAGGCTACATCGCTGTTCTAGATGTTTCTGGAAACCCAACCTTGGCTCAACAACGATGTCTAATAACCAACATCGCTGTTGGAAGACTTAACGCCAAACCATGTTTTTAGCTACCCAAGCCTGACAGCGCTGTTGGTTTCACCAACATCGCTGTTAGAATGGATTTGGCCAGACCCATGGTTGGTTTAGTCAGCCGTTAGCCGATGTCAAAAATCTAAGTTCTCCAAAATAAAAACCAAGTATTTAAAACATTTGTTTATTGCATTTTGCTAAGAAATCAAGTAAAACATCTTAAAAACCACATCATTTAATTGAAAACCACGGCTAACCAAGTTTGTGCCGTTTCGCATGGTTTTCACCAAACGACCAAAAACGGACGGTGGTTTTTGAAGCGTTTTTGTTGGAGAACTATTTAAATATGCCCAGAAGTAAAAACAAATCATAAAAAGTTGAAAACCACTTGGTAGGTTCGGACGCCAAAAACCAACGCCGAAAACCGAAAGCCGAATGCCGGTTTCTGAAAGCCGAACGCCGGATGGCTTGGTTTTTTATTTGGGCGAACTCCAAGTGTTTTTAGGCATGTTTAAAACTTATGAAAAACATTTTTGAATTTGCAAAAAGTATTTTGATGGAATGAGCCTAGGGAGCCAAGATTTGAAAGTTTGTGCTGGTCTTGATCACATTAAGACCGACTCAATACAATTCTAGTTCTTCGTTCTTGATTCTTGGTTCTTGGTTCTCAAATCATCATGCCATGTTCCTTCGCCTTGGTTTTGCTCACTTTAGCCTTGTTATGTCACGGCGGTTTGGCATTATCAAAACCTGTCATAAAACGAACACAGTTTAGTACGACGTAGGCGTAAACCCATGTTCCAACAATTTCCCCCTTTTTGATAATGGAAAACAAGACGGGGATATGCATACTAAGGGATATTTTATTTTCAAAAAATCGTGAAAAAGTTCCCCCTTAATTTGTGCTTAAAAAATTGTCGGATTAAAAATCAAACCGTCTCATTTATAGAGGCGTTCCCCCTTAGTATATGCATAGCCCTTTTCTTCCCCCTTTTGACATTAACAACAAGATAAAAGATAATTTTATTTATTAAAGGGAAATAGCGGAGTACAACGGAAGCATTAAAAAAATAATTAAACGAAGAGATAGAAATTCTAGGGGTGTCCTAGTTTTCGTCTTCGGTTTCTTCCTCGTCGTCGTCGACGTCCATCTCATCACCATCAATGGCATCGTCGAACTTATCCTCGTCCGGGGAGCTTGACTGGGAGTAGGAGCCATCCTCTTCGTCTTCATCACCGTACACTTCCCCGAGGAATGTGCCGTGGAGTGGTGGAGGGACGTAGTTGATGCCTTGGACGTATGCGTTCATGGCGTACCCTTGGTGTTGAACAGCCACGTCGAGCCGTTCAAGGTAGCCCACAATCCCGTCAACTTTGAAGTGGAGCCAGTTGAGGGAGTCGGCAATGGAGGCGAGGTTGGCCCGGGCCCGGGGTTCGGCTGGGCCAGCAGTAGGGGCAGTGCGGCGTGGCGCGGCAGTGGCAGTCGCAGCGTTGACCGACCGCTTGGTAAAGGTTTGGTTGCTGATTGTCCAAAGCTTCGTGGCCTTCGTGAGTGGGCCAGCGGTGGTGGTTACCTTGAACCGTTCAAGGATGTCCATCACCACGAACGGGTACGGGAGGAGGTGATCGTGGTCGGTGGACGCGGCTATCGTCATGTTGATCATGACAAACTTCGCCCAATTGATTGGGGCCGAGTGCATGATCGTATGAATGAGCTTGAGGTCCTCACCGGACATGATTGTGTGGCCATGCTTCCGGGGTTTGATGATCCGGGACACGATGTAGAGGACGAGACAGCCTTCGGGGTTTGCGGAGTGGATGGTGGGGCGGCCCGAGGCATGGCGGATGAGCTCGGTGATGCCAAGCTCGTTGAGGATAAGGCCCTCGTTGTTGAGCACCCAGTCCTCTCCGCCATAGTGGGAGACATCGTCGCCTTAGAATGGAAGGCCAGCGATGCGCCCAAGCTGCTCCACGGTGAGCTCAATCGGCGTGCTCTTGAAAAGCGAGTAGAGCACGTCGTTCTCAGGCCAGAGGTTGGAGTAGAAGGCCTGGATCAGCGCCAGGTTGATCTCTTTTCGAGCCCGGGAGACAAACGGCCAAAGGCCGGCTTGATGAAGCTGCGCGTCAAGGTCGTCGTAGCCCTGCAGCTCCAGGTAGCGCTCCGGTATGATTCGTGGGGGAGCCACAACCCGTTTAGAGAAGAAAGTGAGGAAACGGGTGCGCTCCTCCTCGGAATCAAACCAGAGGTATGATCCGTCGCCATAGTAGAGGCGCTCCTCGGAGGATGTCGTAGGCGCCCGGGATTTGGACTTTGATTTCCCGGAGGTGGCGGCCCTGCTCTTGTCCTTGCCCATGATGAAGAAAAAACACAAAAGAGAAGAGTAGAGATGATGAAATAAGCAAAGATATTGAGGAGAATTGTGTTTGTGTGTGTAAAAGTGAGAAGAGGGGGTCCAAATATATAGGAGAAGAGGTCTCCAACGTCCAGATTTTCAAAAACATGGCTGTTGGAGCAATTAATGCTGGTGCAACGGATATTTTTTTGAAAAAATTGACCAGAACAGGGATGTTCTACAGGGGACATCGCTGTTGGGACAGCGCTGTTGTTCCTTGTACAGCGCTGTTCTGCGTCAAGTTTTAAAAAAAGGAGTCAAATGGACAGCGATGTTGGGTACCCTACAGCGATGTTCCATAAGTTTCTGGAATTGTGTAAGGGTTTGAACAGCGCTGTTGGGTTTCTCAACATCGCTATTTTACAATAGAGAAAAAATTTTGTAAAAAAATGGACAGTGCTGTTGCAATGGTGGACAGCGCTGTTGGAAAACTTTCTGGTTTTGTTTGAAAACAAGGTGTTTAAGAAAACAGCTATGTTGAAAAGGGACAGTGATGTTCAAAAAGTTTCTGGAAAGCAAAGGTAAAAGGGACTCCCTGTAACAGCGCTGTTGGCTTGTTGTACAGCGTTGTTGGCAAACTTTCTGGTTGACGGTGTTTCTCTCAATAGCGCTGTTGGGTCTCCTGGACAGCGCTGTTTGCATGGTTCCCCCTGATTTCATGAACGGGGTACCTGCAAAAAAGAAAAAAAATTCTCCGACGCTCAAGTTAGTAAACGTTTAACAAGTTTAGATGCACAACTTAGATCATCGCAGAGTCAAGGATTCCGAGTTCACTTCGAATGCGGAAGAACGACTCTTTCTCTAAAGGTTTTGTGAAAATGTCGGCTAATTGGTTATGTGTTTCAACAAACTCAATTTTGACATCACCTTTGAGAACATGATCTCTAATCAAATGATGCCTAATATCAATGTGTTTCGTCCTTGAGTGAAGAACGGGGTTCTTCGTCAAGCTTATGGCGCTAGTATTATCACAACGAAGAGGGACGTGATTGATACTAAGGCCATAGTCCACGAGTTGTTGCTTCATCTAAAGGATTTGAGCACAACAACTACCGGCGGCTACATATTCCGCTTCGGTTGTGGATAAAGCAACACTGACTTGTTTCTTACTAAACCATGAAACTAGAGAGCTACCAAGTAAGTGGCAAGTCCCACTCGTACTTTTACGGTCCAATTTGCAACCGGCAAAGTCCGAGTCGGAATAACCAACGAGATGACACGAAGAGCCTTTTGGATACCACAGTCCAACGTTAACCGTGCCAGCAAGGTATTTCATGATCCGTTTCACCGCCGTTAAGTGCGATTCCTTCGGGCATGATTGATACCTTGCACAAAGGCAAACGCTAAACATGATATCCGGCATACTAGCGGTAAGATAGAGAAGGGATCCGATCATACCTCGATACTTTTTGACTTCTACTTCCTTACCTTTCTCGTCTTTGTCAAGATGGTCAGACGTGCTCATCGGGGTCGCCATGGCTTTGGCGTTGTCCATTTCAAACCGTTTTAGGAGCTCCTTGCAATATTTAGCTTGGAAAATGAACGTGCCATCTTTCATTTGCTTGACATGGAGTCCCCAAAAAAATGTGAGCTCGCCTATCATTGATATTTCGAATTCACTTGTCATTAAAGTTGAGAATTCATTGCACAAAGATTCGTTAGTAGCACCGAATATAATATCGTCTACATAAACTTGAACCAAAAGGATGTTATTGTTTTTACTCTTGATAAAAAGTGTGGTGTCTACCTTTCCTCTTTGGAAACCACTATCCAAAAGAAATTTACTCAAACATTCGTACCAAGCACAGGGTGCTTGTTTAAGACCGTAGAGTGCTTTCTTGAGTTTGAAGACATGTTCGGGAAACTCAAAGTCTTCAAACCCCGGGGGCTGGTCAACATACACTTCCTCTTGAATAGAACCATTGAGGAAGGCACTCTTAACATCCATTTGATAGAGTTTAAAATCCATAGACGAAGCAAAAGCAAGAAGTAAGCGAATAGCTTCTAAACGTGCTACGGGTGCATAAGTTTCTTCAAAATCAATGCCTTCTTCTTGATTGTAGCCTTTAGCTACGAGCCTAGCTTTGTTTCTAGTGATTATTCCATTTTCATCGAGTTTGTTACGGAACACCCATTTCATACCAATAATCATACGATCATCGGGCCTTGGCACCAATTCCCAAACGTCATTTCATTTGAATTAGTTTAGCTCCTCTTGCATAGCCAAGGTCCAATGTTCATCGTTCATTGCTTCGGAAATGGTTGTAGGTTCAATTTGAGAAACAAAAGCCATCTGACCTACGGTGTCCCTAAGAGAGTTACGAGTACTTACCCCGCGGTTGATGCTGCCGATTACCTGGTCAAGTGGGTGGTTCTTGTGCGTTCTCCAAGTGATGGGAAGCTCGGTTTCCTCTTGTTCCTGGGCTTCCTCTTGTTCTTCTTCGTCTGCTTGGTCCTCATTTTCGACCATCACTTGAGGTGTTTCCTCAGGTTGTGGTTGCGGGTTGGTGTATAATGGCGTGTCTTCTTCATCGTCTTCAGCGTGTAATCTTTCGAGTGAATCTGCAAGATCATCACAAATAGCCTTTCTCGCCAAGCGAGTATTATCTTCGGAAAATACAACATGAGAGGACTCCTCAATAGTCAAGGTACGTTTATTAAACACTCTATAGGCCTTGCTACGTAGAGAATAACCAAGAAAAATCCCTTCGTCCGACTTGGCATCAAATTTTCCCAAGTTATCTTTGCCGTTATTATGAATAAAACATTTGCAACCAAACACTCGAAGATGGGAAAGGTTTTGCTTTCTTCCTTTGTATAATTCATAGGGTGTTTTCATGAGTATCGGTCGAATGACGGCTCGGTTTAACACGTAGCTCGCGGTACTCACGGCATCCGCCCAAAAATACATAGGAATTTTTGCCTCATTGATCATAGTCCTGGCCATCTCTTCGAGGCATCTATTTTTACGTTCCACCACTCCATTTTGTTTCCCCTTTTAACACGCATCACATATGGTGTCTTTTTCAAACTTAAGTTTTGGAATGCCAATTACTAAGTCTTGTGAAACCAATTTGTTCAAAAGGTTCATGTTCATATGAGCTACCCTTCGGTTCCATAACCAAGTGTCTTCCTCTTTACTCATGAGGCACTTAGCAAAGCCGGAGGGAGATTTGTCTAAGTTAACCATATATATGTTATCGATTCTATCACCACGTAGAATGACCTTATTGTCACTAAGGCGTTCTACCGTGCATGATTTTGAATCGAAGGTCACACGGTTTCCCTTGTCACATAATTGACTTATGCTCAAGAGATTGTGTTTAAGACCTTTAACAAGCAACGGGTAACATGTAAATTATTATTACCCTAATCAGAACGATACATCAACATCTAATGCTAAACCATAAAGATGGTTCCGTGCATGTAATGAATACAACAATAATACAACAAAACAACAACTTGGCACGCAGGCCATACAAATAAACAATCAAAGGACGCATCAGAGTTGCCAACAGAACAAAATGGTAATCCACGTCCTTGCTCTAGTGTCAGCTTCCAGCTTCCAGTACCCCGCATCTCAAGGCAGTAGTATGGTAGACCAAACCAGAGCATGGGGGGAGCATATGTAGGTGGCATCTCAAGCCAAACACATCACTCCCTCTCCATGGACCCAAAGTCACATACAATCAAAAAACAGCAAAACAGGACTGGGCAGCAGCAGCGTCACCTAGTCCATGTGCACCATCAGCAAAAACCTACGTGAAAACAGCTGGGAACCTGCCCCCCTGCAGTTTCCTTCAAGCATTGGTTCCACGGCAATGGTCCAAAGCCTGCAGTTCCCGCCCCAAGAACAGGCCAACACAAACTCAACAACAAATCCATCTGAATCCACAACATATTTCCAGAGGGTTGTCCATTCGAGTCCAAAGCCAAGTTCAAAGAGCTCCATGGTTGGGCAAGCTCCATTGTATCCACACTACGAATCAACATCCCCTATCTGTGGTCCTAGTGAAACTGGGACGACGAGGGGCTGTGTTCTGAGTTCACGATGTCGTTCACCCTCATCCTCCAACTGACCGGGTAAGAGTATCGCTAGGATGTCCAACAACAAGAGAACAAGAACCAGCGAGATCCTCCATCATGCATACCAAAACTACCCCATCATCAACAGCAAAGCCAAGGACATCAGAAAAGGCATGATCCAAAAGCGAGGATCTGAAGTTGCCCTAAGAAACCCCTAAGCAGCAGAGAAAGCCACGGTAAAGGGTACCACCAAGACTCCAAGAACAAGTTGTTAGTTCCTATAATAGTGTACACACCGTACCAAAAGTCTGGGTAGCATGGGGTTTGTATTTTTTTATTTTTAGTTGGCCTTATCCAAATAGTAGGAATAAGTTGTCTAGTTGGCTTGGGATTGTAGCGTCCTGCCATGTTGAGGATTCACGAAGGATATGCTCATACTTGTCCAGATCGAGCTAGAAGACATCTCACATGCTGATGGTTACTGCAAAGGACTCTCACATGCTAAGATTATTGCGAAGGACTCTACTAGGGTTTCTGGTTGCTGTCCACGTATATATACATATACCACTGCACTGCTTATGAGGAGCGCCTCGGTGAGAGAGAGAGAAAGATCCTGTGCAACATAGAATTACCAAGATCAGAGTCTGATTCATGCGTTGTTAATCTTTGACAATCTGTGTTGATCAAGTGGTGAAGACACGTCTCAGAGAGCAGGAAGATCTGCTGTCCAGCAAGTGATCTATGAAGTGCTGGAAAAGGGTCGTAACACATCCAGATGCATGGAGTTGGTGTAACCAGCCGAAGTGAATGATACAAACAGAGTTTGTTATCAAAGTCATCCGTAAGTTGGTTAAGTCAATACAATAGATTGAGTCTCTTGTTATTGAAGGTGTAATCATTACGGTGATTTAGTGGAAGGGCTGTTACACGGATGTGGGCCCCGCAGAGTAGGAAAGTTTCCGAACTGCGTAAACAATTTCTCTGTGTTGCATCTTTACTTTATTCTGCACCTTACTTTGGTTTGTGTTAGAGAGAGTGCTATAGCATCGTGTGTGTGTCCTGAAGTCTCCTATAATAACCGTGTGTCTACTGAGTACGGAGGCTGCCTTTAGAACTTTCAATTGGTATCAAAGCAAGGTCAGCTTAAGTTATTAGCTGAAGAAGATGATCATGGGAGATATGGAGGAAGGAGCAAATGTTCAACGACCACCTCTGTTGAGAGGACCAAACTATAACTTTTGGAAAGGACGTATGAGAGCGTTCTTGAAATCACAAGGTGGCAGAGTATGGAGAATCATAGAAACTGGGTGGACAGAGCCAACAGAAACAAATGCAGAAGGTGTGCAAGTGATCAAAACTTTCGAAATATACTCAAAGGAAGAAGCCCAAGCTGCTAAATGCAACGACAGAGCACTAAATGCATTATTTGGAGCTATTGATAGTTCGCAATATAGGCTCATCTCGAACTGCACTGAGGCCAAGAAAGCCTGGGAAATTCTTGAAACCACACATAAAGGGGACGAGAGAGTCAAGACAGCAAAAATCCAGATTCTTATCACTAAATATGAAAGCCTGCGCATGGATGATAAGGAAAGGATAGCTGATTTTCATGGAAGATTAAGGGAGCTGGCAAATGAAGCTGAAAATCTGAAGCGTCCATTCACTGAAGACTGTTTAGTTTTGAAGGTGCTTAGAGCTCTACGAGAATCCTATGCTATGGATGCCAAAGCAATTCGTCAGGCACATGACATCAAGAATATGACTCGGGATCAACTCATGGGGAATCTAGAGACTATTGAGTTGTAGATGAATGAAGAGCTCAAACGGAAAAAGAATGAGAAGCCGATTGCTTTTCACAGCCTGGCTGATGTGGATGAAAATGAAGATGATATAGCACAAGACGAGGACTTTCAGGAGCAACTGTCACTCTTCACTAGACAGTTCAAAAAACAATGGATACAGAAGAGAGGGAAGAACAATTTCCAAGGTGAATCATCCAAAGGAATACAATTCAGAAATACACGACCAAGGGAGGTAAGACCATCAAATGATGACCTCAAGAAAAAGGGGCCTCAATGCTTTGAATGTGGTGGGTTCGGTCACATTCAATCTGAATGTGCTAACAATCTCAAAAAGAAGAGGCAAGCCTTCATGTCAACTTGAAGTGATGATGAGGAAGAAACAGAAGATGTCATGGGGAATAGTCATTGTGCCTTTGTCACCCAGTACGAAGAAGAAAACACTGAGGATGCTGCTGAACAACTCACAGTACTACAAGAAAAGTGGACAGAACTTCTTCTTGTCCGTAGGAAGAACATCTTAGAAAAGAATCAACTGGCTGTGGAAGTAGAAGATCTCCGAAAGAAACTGGATAAAGTCAACCAGCAGCTGATTCAAACTGAAGGAGAAAAGTCTGATCTAAAATATGAACTCACTCAACTTAAAAGCTATCAAAGGTGGATGAAGAGTGCAGGGGCTGAAAAGATCGAGAAGATGGTGAGCTCGTCAAAATTCTATGGGGATAGATCTAGAATTGGGCACACATCATCTGAAGGCAGCAAAACACCACTGGATCTGTTCACCAGAGAAACAAAGGACATCACCAAACAACCAGACACAAAGGAGCTGCCAGAATGCAACCTGAGCAAGGGCAAAGAGAAAGTGTTTCAGCGTCCAGACTATCATGTAAGGAATACTTATTCTCTGAATCCTTATTTCAATTATATTTGCTTCTACTGCAGGAAAAAAGGGGCACATCAAACGCCAATGTTACAAACTAAAAAACTTGAAGAGAAGGAAAGGTGGTACAACAAGGCATGTCAAAACCAGAATGAAATGGGTACCCAAACACCAAGCCTCATGAGCAAATCTGTGCTATCAAGTCACACCTGATCAGTGGATCCTGGATAGTGGATGTTCTCATCATATGACTGGAGACAAACAGAACCTGACAAATGTACAACCAATTGAAGGAGGGAATGTAAGATTTGGTGGTGGAGCTCATGGACAGATTATCAGGAATGGAACGCTGCATGTATCTGGACTGCCACCAATCAAGAATGTATGGCTTGTTCAGGGACTGCAAGTGAATCTTTTGAGCATTAGTCAGATCTGTGATCAAGGACTTGAAGTGGTATTCACACAACAGAAATGTCGCATCAAGGATAGAAACAAGTTGGTGGTATTAGAGGGAGATAGAACTGCTGACAATTGCTATAAAGTAATTCCAAACATCCTATGTTATGCTGCAAGTGAAAGAGACGCCAGATTATGGCACTACAAACTGGGGCATATGAACTACAAACACCTTAAAGTGCTATCAAACTCAGGGGCAGTTTGAGGGCTGCCAAAAATCACACATGCTGATGATCAAGTATGTGGACCTTGTCAGAAAGGAAAGCAGATCAGAAAAAGTCACCCAAAGAAGCTAATGAGAACAACCAAACGACCACTAGAACTACTGCACATTGATCTTTTTGGGCCTATGCAGACAGAAAGTATAGGAGGAAAGAGATTCGTTCTCATAGTAGTAGATGACTACACCAGATATACTTGGATCAGCTTCTTAAAGCACAAAGACGATGCATTGGATGCTTTTGCAGCTCTTTGCAACAAGGTTCAGAATGAAAAACAACTGAAGTTGTTGTAACCAGCCGAAGTGAATGATACAAACAGAGTTTGTTATCAAAGTCATCCGTAAGTTGGTTAAGTCAATACAATAGATTGAGTCTCTTGTTATTGAAGGTGTAATCATTACGGTGATTTAGTGGAAGGGCTGTTACACGGATGTGGGCCCCGCAGAGTAGGAAAGTTTCCGAACTGCGTAAACAATTTCTCTATGTTGCATCTTTACTTTATTCTGCACCTTACTTTGGTTTGTGTTAGAGAGAGTGCTATAGCATCGTGTGTGTGTGTCCTGAAGTCTCCTATAATAACCGTGGGTCTACTGAGTACGGAGGTTGCCTTTAGAACTTTCACAAGTGACTAAGGGATCAACAACCCACATTCAGCAGCTCCATCACAAATGGTACCAACCAACTTCAGCAAATCCACCCAGTTCAGCCCATATGCAAAACAGATCCAAAATCCAGGGGAATGCAGTTTCGTTACTGCCTTACTGCCCAGGCGAATGGCAGCAGGAAGCCACTATCCATCCAGCACCCAAAATCACCAAAAATGAAGCAGAATCCATAGCAAGCTCAATAGGCAGTCCTCCTAGCAGGCGCAGTCATACCGAAGGCATATGCAAGGCACAAGGTTACTAGCTCCCTCCCCAACAACAACTTCCAGACAAACCACGACTGTCGAGGGTTCAAATCAGTCCTTACCTCATGCAAATGAGGTAAGGTGTGACAGAGTTAAGTCTTTAGGAGGTTGAGGGAGGGGTGGGACTTTCACGAAGACCATTATACCCAGGTATCAGTTCCAGCATCAAGGCACAGCCCAGGTCAACCCCAACACCAAGTAGCAAAATGAGCAGTTCACATCAGGGTATCCCATGTGCAGGTGCAGTGGGATAACATTCATTACCACCACTGCTAACCACCATCATTTCTGTCCAGCAGCAGGCCAAAAAATCAGCACAGCAGGCAAAAACCAGCACAAACCAGTCAATTACAGTGCAGAATTCTTCAATTCAACTCTCTCAAGGCCAAAACACATTGGTTTCTCCAAGAACATAGCTACAAGGCCTCACCCAGGCAATGACTGAGTTCATTGCCTCACCCAGAAATCAGTATGAAGGCAAGAAACAGCTCATGAATAACAGCTCATTCCACAAATTTCAATCACAAACGTAAATCAACAGAGGTGTTGTTAAAACATCATAAACACCCTCTTAATTGACTTAAGGCAAGAAACAAGCAAGACATTATCTATAGAGGAGTTTTCAGATTTACCTACCGAACCAATGCCGATAATCTTTCCCTTGCTATTGTCCCCAAAAATTACGTTTCCTCCTTTGGCGGTCTTGATTTGGAGAAACTTAGATGCATCTCCGGTCATGTGCTTGGAGCATCCGCTATCAAGGTACCAAAGTACACTTGATGCCTTCAAGCACACCTAAGAAACACATCAATGAGTTTTAGGTATCCAATTTACGCTGGGTCCTCGAGTGTTAGGTGTGTGATGGTAGTGTGCTTGATTTTGTGATAGGTGCCTATGCCTAGTGTAACAAACGGGAGCAATATGGCCTATCCTATTACAATAATGGCAAACTACGTTGGGGTTGTACATGTGCCTAGGTTCATAATAGTTAAAGGGTTTAACAATTTTGTTCCTATATTGTGAAAACAATGGTTTTTGAAAATTTTGAAACTGGCCTTTTCTAGGTGCTCTAGCATTATTTCTCCTAATTTGAGAAAATTCATTTTTATGCACAAAATCATTTTTCTTAGGTTGTCTACCATGACCATTTTCATTCCTAGGTTTTAGTCTAGGTTGTCTAGTGTCCTTAGGTTGACTAGGTTTTCTATTATCTTGATTTTTAGGTTTCTTATGTTGAACCTTAGATGATTGTCTAGGTGGTGGCTCAACATTTTCTTTAGCTTCATTTTTATGGAAACCTATTCCTTCCTTAGAAAAGTGCATAGTGTCAAGAAGTAAATTTAAGTCTTTGTGAGGAGTATTAAATTTCTTGACCGTGATCTCAAGTTTAGCGACTTGCTCTTTTAAAGCTTTACAACACCCACATTCACTTGATGAACTTTCCGGTTTGTCAGCGCTTCTTTTTCCAAAAAATTTGTTTTCTTGTTTAAGTATTTCATTTTCTTTTTCCAATTTTTCAAAATCGTTTTCAAGTGTAGAAAGACGTTTCTTCAAAGATTTATTTGTTTTAGAAGCGCTAACAAATTCTTCATAAAGTTCATGAAGTGCTTCTTGCATTTCTTCAAAAGTATAAGAGTCGGAAGAAATGGTACATACCTCTTGGACATTGTCGTTTTGATCTTCGTGCGCCATGAGGCAAAGATTTGCAGCTTCTTCCTCCTCTTGGTCGGTTGATTCGTCACCGGAATCGCCACCCCAAGATATGTAAGCCCTTTGCTTCGTGAAGCCAGGCTTGTCCTTGCCGTGTTTGGCTTTTGGACACCTTGGCTTGATGTGGCCAATCTCGCCACAGCCATAGAACTTGGGAGGACCGTCGTGCTTCCTTCCCTTCCGCTCAAATTCCTTCTTCATGAACTTGTGGAACTTCTTGATGACGAGTCCATTTTCGTTGTCATCATCGCTTGAAACCTCTTCCACCGGTTTCATGGTTGCTTTGAGAGCTATCCCCTTTTTCTTTTGTTCATCCAAATACGGGGTTAGAATAGTAGATTCATAGGTTTTAAGATTACCTCTTAGCCTATCGATGGTGACGTTGGATGAAAGTCGGTTTACACCCTAAGAGGGGGGTGAATTAGGGTGTTTGCAAATTTTTCGTAAAAAAAAACTTATGCGCAAAGTAGTAGCGGAAAGAGAGCAAGAAAGATATAAAAGATAAAAATACGACACAAGCGATTTTATACTGGTTCGGGAACTCCCTACTCCAGTACCTCGAGGCTCCTCCTCAAGGATTTAACCTCCACTAACTTGTTTGGCTTCACTAAGAAGACTCAAACGAGGTTTGGCAAACAACCCTTGCCAATAAGCATATGAGATTTTACTACGGCTATCTCAACCATTTAAAACCGAAGATTTTAAGGCTATCTTCAACCTTACACTGAGGATTTAAAGGCTATCCACACCTTTTACAGATCAATTAAAAAAATTGGTGTTGCTTCTCTACCAAAATAATAACAAATATGAATTGGGTAGGAGAAGAACAAAAGATTAAATCAACAACAACAAAAGCCTATAGGCAAGATATAAAATAATGAAGCACAAATGCCCTTGTGTGTGAGTGTATAAAAAGATGAAAGCTTTTTACTCAAAAGAGTAAGAAAAATAAGAACAGAGCTTTAAGAACACTCAAGAATTAGAGAAAGAGGCTTTAGATTTAATTGAGAAGTTGTTGTTCATAAAATGAGACTTAGAGGGGGTTTATATAGGAGTTTGGAATGTTAAAATTTGAGTTTTTAACGTTACATGCCGTTAGGAAGTGATTAGGGGTGATTTGAATTTAAATTGGCAATTTGCTACAGTGCTGCCAACGGATCCGGTACCCTTCATGGTAGGGTCAGTACCGTCCGGTACCTAGGTACCGTGACACATGGTACAGCCTACCGTTTGGGGGTACCGTGTAAGCCAAAAGTTAGGTTCGCTACTGGCGGTACCTGTTAGGACGGGATACCCAGTCGGTTCAGCCTACCGTACGGTATCCAGGTACCGTCTCACGGTAGGGGGGTACCGTGTACCTCCTGAGTGAAACGTACCCGGTACGTTCACTAAGCTGTCGGCGGTACCCTGGTGTCGTGTATACGGTAGCCAGGTACCGTTAGGTCTGTGTAAAAATTCCAAAACTCATTTTTCGTGTTCCGTTTTCAAAATAACCCCAACTAAGAATATATTTGTCATTTTAAAAATAAGTTTTGAGTGAAAGGGCATAAGTAACTCATTAAAATATATCATTACCTTTACACAAGAATTCTAAACTCGTAGGAGTATATCTCGGTGATGCTAAACAAGCTAATAGAGGTTTGGCGTTTGTGTTCTTCCTGAAAATGATGTTAGTAACATTTCGAAAACTTATTTGGCACATCAAAACGGTTACGGGGTACGGCATTCAAGGCCAACATTGGAGACTCCAATGGATTCATAGATTGCATCGGCTTTTGACCTCCATTCGGGGGTGAGGCTTCGCAGGATTTTCCTTACGAGATCCTTGTTGGTGTACGTCTTCTTAAGAGCATGAAGATCGTTTATGATTTTTGAGAAACGATCAAACATGTCATCGATTTTCTCACCTTCCTTCATTCGAAACATTTCATACTCTTGGGCAAGAAAATCGATCTTGGCTTCACGCACTTGATCAGTACCTTCGTACGTTACTTCAAGCTTGTCCCACATCTCCTTGGCGGTTGTGCAATAGGAGATCTTTCGGTAGTCATCGGGGTTGACCGCACAATATAGCATATTGATGGCCTTTGCATAATTCTCAATCTTGATGTCCTCGGCATCAAACTCGCTCTCGGTTTTTGGAACCGTGGTTTCTCCTACTTTCTTCATTGGGACTTCCTCTCCGTTTTGATGACCAACCATAATTGGAAGTTGGTGGAACGGATATAGATTCTCATCCGTTCCTTCCAATAGGAATAGTTGGTGCCATCAAAGAGTGGTGGCCTAGAAGTGGATTGACCTTCTCCAATTCCTGCGTAGAGATTTCTAGAAGAAGAGCCCATGATCGCTTTACTCTCAAACGGTTAAGTTTGGACGCGAGTTAGGCTCCGATACCAATTGTTAGAATAATAGACCAATGCTAGAGGGGGGTGAATAGCATTTGATCAAGAAATCGCAGGAATGAAAATGAATAAACGAGAAGTAAAGAGAAAAGTAAGAGGCACACCAATTTTACCCTGGTTCACCACAACTTGTGGCTAATCCAGCCTCCCGAGAGACTCTCTCGAGCTACACTACTATCTTGTTAAGCTTAACGGTGCTTAACAAACCTGTACAACTTGAGTGTTCGAGTCACACGAACCACAACGAACCTTCGAAGGAAACAACCCTTCCTTCGAACAACAAGAGAAATATTTTCTCTTGTCAAGTGTCTAAGAACACTAAAAACACTCAAGACCAATACTCTCTTTTAGAGTGGATAATGAGTAACTAAGAACGCTCAAAAACGCAACACAAGCTTCACAAAACTGGCTCTCAAAAAGCTATGAATAAAGGATGGATGATTTGCAATGAAAGAGTAGGAGCTGTGAAGTAAGTGATATGTAAAACCGACCCAAACACCCCATTTTATAGTAGAAAAATAGGCTCCAATGAACCAAAACATTTAAGCGGTGATTGGCACAATTTGTGGGATTTGATTAAATTTGGATCTCCTGAAATTCACCCTCACAGCTCTGTCCTATGCTTGGACATCGCTGTTCTAGGCTTGCGTTTTGAAAATTGAAAACCAGGTATTGAAAACATTTGTTTATTGCATTTTGCTAAGAAATCAAGTAAAACATCTTAAAAACCACGTCATTTAATTGAAAACCACGGCTAACCAAGTTTGTGCCGTTTCGCATGGTTTTCACCAAACGACCAAAAACGGACGGTGGTTTTTGAAGCGTTTTTGTTGGAGAACTATTTAAATATGCCCAGAAGTAAAAACAAATCATAAAAAGTTGAAAACCACTTGGTTGGTTCGGACGCCAAAAACCGAAAGCCGAACGCTGGTTTCTGAAAGTTGAACGCCGGATGGCTTGGTTTTTGATTTGGGCGAACTCCAAGTGTTTTTAGGCATGTTTAAAACTTATGAAAAATATTTTTGAATTTGCAAAAAGTATTTTGATGGAATGAGCCTAGAGAGCCAAGATTTGAAAGTTTGTGCCAGTCTTGATCACATTAAAACCGACTCAATACAATTCTAGTTCTTCGTTCTATATTCTTGGTTCTCAAATCATCATGCCATGTTCCTTCGCCTTGGTTTTGCTCACTTTAGCCTTGTTATGTCACGGCGGTTTGGCATTATCAAAACCTGTCATAAAACGAACACAGTTTAGTACGACGTAGGCGTAAACCCGTGTTCCAACAAAGTTATGATCCCGAAGACTTATTTTGAAAGCTAAGTCTCGGTTTCTAATCCATATTTCAATTATTGATTCTTACCTTGAAAGCCCTTTAATTTCGGACCTTTCCAAAAGTTCAGTAGCCCCTGATAATCGATTGTCACTTTGTGATAATCGATTATCAAAGTTTAGCAGCCCTTGATAATCAATTGTCACTTGGTGAGAATTGATTATCAAAGTTCAGCAGCACCTGATAGTAGATTATCAGAACTTGACAATCTATTATCAAAGTACTTGGGTTCTACTTTGGTCTGTCAAATTATGTTCAACCTTTTGAAAAATTGTAACGAACATGTAAAATTTACAAATATATCTAAATATGTAGTGCATCTTCATCCCAACGGATTTCTAGATGATTTCTTTTAACGAGTGTTATACCATATATATATATATATATATATATATATATATATATATATATATATATATATATATATATATATATATATATATATATATATATATGTTTATAATGAGAAAACTACGATCATACAGATTCAACGTAAATTATCCCAAGTAGTTGAGCATATAAACTAACAAGTACACATTTGTTCAAACATGTAAAACACATATATAGTTGGGCATGGATTTACGTGTTCATGTAATCATCTAAATGTAGTCTAGGTGTTTCCCAATGTTTTCATTTATATTTCAAATTTAAACACCTATACGTATCAAGTAATGCTATTACGATATTCAATGGTATTTCCTCAAGCCTAACCATATTCTTCATGATCCAACCATTCTACCACTTTTATTCTAAAATCCTTATGGTTTACGATTGAGTCGAACATCCGTTTAGATCCAGAATATAACATGGTATGAATCTACATACAAATAACCATATAAACAAAAAAACGTATTTGCATGTAAATATATTAAAGATTCCTCCGTTATATCTAGGGTTTACATACCTCGAATATGACACAACGTTACAAGGGACCAAACGAATCACAGCGTCAACTAACGGTCGTCAAACCATTGACCTTCTGACTTCCAAACGGCTTCTTGAGTTCCGTTTCTTCTCACGAATATGTTATAGGGATTGTGAAGGGTTGGCACGCACCAAGCGAATAGCGTATTGGATGAGACAGATCGAGAATGGGACGGAAGTTGCAAATCTCGCGTTTTCCGTCGCCACTAGACCAGTTTTGGTAAAAGGGCCGTATTGCCTTCGTTACTTGTCTGATTGACAAACCGTTTGCAGTTGTGGTTCACCAACTCGCAGAGCTACAACTTTCGTCAAGAAACCACAACTAAACAGTAAGTTTAAGTTTGTCTAAATACTATCCAAAATGGATTGGCGGGATTTTGCTTCCAAAATCAGCACCTCCTCCTTCTTCTTCCTCTTCTTCTCCTCCGCCGGCCTTCCTCCGTGGTGTGGTTTCTGGGCCAAAAGACATAGAGAAGAGGGAGAGTAGAGAGTGTGTTGGTAGTGTGGGGGTTACAAATGATGGAGAAAATGGAAGGGAAGAGGAAGGTTTATATTAAAGAGACATAATAGAGGAAAAATGAAGGACTAATGAGGGCAGTAAATGAGAATTAAAAATGGGGGAATGAATAACGATGAGTGGTGTGTGGATAGATTTGGGGAGTTATCTCCCTAAATTCTACTCTGATGTATAAAATCTGACAGGAATGGTACGCGCTTTTCCCCCCTAACTAGTTTGAATTGAGATCCGTTCGCGTTTCCAGGAATAAATAGTGAAAACTAAATTTATGATCTCTTAAAAATATTTTTCTCCAAACTTTATTTTCAGACCACCGGGTCCATCTCATTCATTAGTTAATTTATCTAACCAATTAATGTTGAGAGGTCCGTTATTAAAAACATCTTTCTTTGATTAAAATACATTAACTATGGAAGTCCATTTAAAGATATCAAAATCTCAATATTTATTATTTACAATAATGAGTCTCAATAAATAAATAATATTTATTTATTCAAAATATTGGCTAACTATTAAGCCGGTTTGTAGGGCGTTAGAGTATATATATATACTAGTGTTAACCCCATGCTTCGTACGGACTCATATACTTTCTAAACTTTTGACATTTTATAAATATAATTCTGTTTATTTTAAGTGAATATTTTTTCACTCTAAGATATACGGAATATATTTTTTAAATAAAAGGTAAACTTTAAATATTGATTTACATGCACTAAAAATTCTATAACTATTTTATTATAAAAAATATTGTATTAAATAAAATTTAAAAATGCCAAAAGGAATTTAATAACATTGAACCTAAAATGTTTTTTTCATTTTTCTAAAAGTGAAATATATTTAAATTGATAATAAATAGTCTTATACATACTCTTATTTAAAATCTTACAATCAATATTCATATTTAAAATACGGAATATATTTTACAATGGTAAAATATATGTTTATAGAATTTTTAGAAAATGTTAACATTTTATAAAAAAAAATATAATCAGATTAATTTTTTAATGCTAAAAAATAATATTCATTTAATATAATACGATAAAATATATTAAAAGATCTTTTTGAAAAAAGAGGCTTAATGAACCTATGAAAAGCACACACCTCCTTAATTAGAGGGTGTTTGAGAGTAATTAACTAGTGGATAAAATGATTTGTACAAAAGCTGAAAGCAAAAGCACTTCATACCTGCTTCTCTAAAACGATGTTCTATGTACAAAATAGTGGTGGCAAAAAGCATAAGCTGAAATGCCAAATAGAGTAAAATCACTTCCACTCAAAACAGAAGCTAAATTATGCTCATGTGGCATGCCACAAGTCGATCAACACACCACAACCAACATATTCAACTTTATATATATATATATATATATATATATATATATATATATATATATATATATATATAAAAGATATTTGAAAACTAATAGTTGTAGATTGTTTCTTAAGATGTGACATGAAAATGAATATTTTCCTAACGTTTGAGTGATGTTTGGTTGGTTTGGCAATAGTGAAATGTTTTGGATGCAAAGGGGACACAGACCGACTAAGGTTTTTTTGAAAATGTTTGAAGGTATCAAAAGTCGTTTTTTAAAATTATATTACTAAGGTTAACCAAATAGTTAGTGGACGAAGTAAAAACCTAAAAGTTAATTTAATGACATACCTTGACCAGGTCTTGTCACATTGAAGCGAGTGGGTCAAACCACGTATTATTAGGCCGGACCGTATGTGTCCAAGTGGATGAGCCTACAAATAATCATACCACAATGTGCCACGAGAACCCAACGATGGTCCCGTGGGTCTAGGGTTCACTTCTGATTACTGGACCTGAGGTCACGGGGAGGTATCCGAAATAAAACTACGTATCGACTAGTGCAGGGTTCCAGCCTAGTCACGACTTAGTCTCTAATCTATGGTTAACTTAGTAGGTCAAGAGTTTTCTAAATGTCGTAAGTAGCTGTTCAAAGTGTGATTGTTTCCTCAATGCTTTTAATTATGCTGAAAGCTTTTGAAACTTGAATAACATAAAATGCCCAAAAAAAAATATTTAAATGTTATATATGTCTACTAGTTATTTGCCACTAAGGTTTATGTTGAGCGTGTAGTGTTTAACGCGAACTGTGCGCAGGTACTGGTAAGGGAAACAAATGCTGAGGAGGAACCGCAAAGACGTGGGGGCCATGCCAAAGAAGTTCCTAATTAAT